TCTTACCTAATAAGATTGTTTCTCACCTAGTTAAAAATCAAAAAAACCTGGACAATTTGATATTATGTTCCTGACATTAATTGCTTGCTATAGTATGGGCTATGTCGAACCATAAAAAGTGAACAGAATCACTTGTATTTTGTGAAAAAGTGGAAATATTTTTTTAATTTTTACTATTTACGGAGACGTAATAACTTTAACATATGTCCCCTTCCTTTTTTTCATCTTGATAAAATATTCCCTGCAGATGGTGTCCTTCATCTGCGATCACTTCTACGTACGGTAGCACCTGTGGGTGCTTCTGGGATAATTGACCCACTTAGGGTATATGTTAAAAGTAAATAATATAATATTTATAAATGGTCTTTTGCTCTCTTGATGTAACTGTCATTTGTATAACATACCATTACGTCAGCAGTGCACTTGTCTTCCTTGAATTCACACATTTTTGCCATTGTTTTCAGACAGCGCATTCCTTTGTAAACACCGTAACGAATAATTTGTGTTGTAAATTAGAAACTAGGCAGAATAGTTGGAAACGGCAAGTGGCATGATAAAAACTATGCATAATCCTGCAAGGCTAAATGTGTTTTGTAAACTGTTCTGATTAGAAGATGAATACATGAAGATATTAAACTCGTGCATCTTCACTGCTTTACAAAAGAATAACCACGTTGTTTGTTTTGAGATATATTTTCATTTGCTGTGATATACAGAGGTTGTGGATGTCTTTCAATGAAACAATATGTCCCGTGGCTGATTTGTAACTTTTGTTAACCCCCAATTCGAGCATGTGTGCAGCTTCTGCCCTGAAGTCATCTTGCAGCCTACATTGTCGCGGAAAGTGATCAAAGAGTATCTGCAAAATGCCATATGATATTATATTGGCAAGATTGACGAGATCTTCCACCACCTCCTACCACTTTCTCCCTTCCTCCTCTACCTTCTCCACCCTCCCCCGACTTTCACTCATCGTTTCCTATTCTCTCCTTTTTAACTGCCTTCTTTCATACTCCCTCCCTCCACCTTTACCTCCTCCCCACCAACACAATCATTTATGCCTCTTCGCCCTATCTCAACATCCATCATCCTCCACCTCTCCCCCTCTTTTACCACTTACATTCTCCCCACCTCATTTCTGTCTCCACCACCTTTTTACTTCCTCATCTACCTCCTCTACCGCCTTCTTCATCACCTCCCTCTCCCCACCTTCTCTCTTATTTTACTACCTTTCTCCTCCTCACCACTTCCTCTTCTAATTCCTCCTTCCTTATAAATATACGAGGAGTGGCACGCGCCTCAATTAACAATCTTCGACGACACCCACTACACACAAATTCACACCTAGTTGACATGCGTCGTGCGGTGTTATTTAAAATACAGGTTAAACATCTAGCGACCTGTGGTCAGTTACTAAATGTGTTAATTGGATGCTACTGAGATAAAGTGGTCCTGTCTGATCATTGTTGTTAAACAGATTTGTATAGAAGGACTAACAATCGCAGCGCGTGCCTCGCGTCACGTGGGTATCTTTCTCGCGTTATTTACGTCACCACACAATTCAAAGCACAGCCGTGCAAAGTACACGATATGTGGACGAGGAAATATACATTAATTACCCCATCCTCGGTCAACGATAGCCCGGGTTGAGTAAGTTAGCAAGAGTACATTGCGAAATTTAAATATATTTGTTAGCTTAATAGGCCTACTGATCAGGGTAACATTATAATAACTTTAACGAAATAAAATAGCAATAGACTGCAAACTCATAATCCAGGCAGTCCAATGAGGCAATACCGGAAAGAGTCGGAAGCACAGTATATATAACTAAACTTGGGTATGAATTGCAAGTTCGCAAATATAGATGTAATAAATAATGAAACCAATTTTACAAGACATTGAGAGGAATAAAGATTCAGAGATCACAGAGAAGGTATAGAAGAAGCCAGCCTACCAGCCAGACAGATAGGAAAGGAGGCCAGCCTATCAGCCATCCAGATATGAAAGGAGGCCAGCCTACCAGTTATGGAAAGAAGCCAGCCTACCGGCCAGTCAGATATGAAAGGAGGCCAGCCTACCAGCCAGCCAGATATGAAAGGAGGCCAGCCTACCAGCTAGACAGATATGAAACCAGATATGAAAGGAGGCCAGCCTACCAGCTAGACGGCTGGCCTCCTTTCATATCTTATCAGCCTATCAGCTATGGAAAGAAGCCAGCCTACCAGCCAGCTAGATATAGAAAAAAGCCAGCCTATCAGCCAGACAGATAGGAAAGGTCAGCCTACCAGCCAGCTAGATATAGAAGGAGGCCAGCCTACCAGCTATGGAAAGAAGCCAGCCTATCAGCTATGGAAAGAAGCCAGCCTACCAGCCAGCCAGATAGGAAAGGAGGCCAGCCTACCAGCTATGGAAAGAAGCCAGCCTACCGGCCAGCCAGATAGGAAAAGAAGCCAGCCTATCAGCTATGGAAAGAAGCCAGCCTACCGGCCAGCCAGATAGGAAAGGAGGCCAGCCTACCAGCCAGTCATAGATGGAAGGAAACCAGCCAGACAGATATGGAGGGAAGCCAGCAAGCTATGGAAGGAAGCCAACTTAACAGCTAATAATTTACTGCTTATTGATTGGGCTTTCCTTGACTTGCACTCATTTATTCGATTCATTGGGAACGAATTTCCAGTATTATATTTCTATTAATAAATGTCTTGAAACTGAGTAACAGGCATATTATCAACATAGGCATACCAGTTCCAAAGGGACAACCCTTCCCCTAGATACAATAATGTAACCCAACAAGAGTAGGGTTACAGCCTTATTCTCTGTTTACAATTGCCAAATAGTGCCTCTGTGAGCTTGTGTGTGCACTGCGTATAGGAGTTATATCAATATTGCAGACAATTCTATTTTTACTATATCAATAAACCTACACATAAAAGTATAACAAAAGATCAAGTGAGAATTTCTCTGGAAATAGAGCATGTATTTATATAATAGATGTAAATATATAGAAAATTTTTTATTACGACAAGGAACGTGATTCTCATCAAAATTAGTTACTGCACATTAGAGAACAACTGTTTGCTTATTAATACATAAATAACAATAACCAACACACCAAACGTGAATCAGTTCAACCAGATTCAAAATATGATTTACATCCTTAACCTGGCAAAGGCGAAAGGTTATCACAATGATAGGCTGGTCCCAGTCTGAATTTTTGTCCTAAATTTAGATAACTATAACAACACCCCTGTCTCCTTCCAGTAATACACTTAACATAACATGGACGACTGCCAAGTCAATTGAATTAAACCATTAAACAACGTTATTAAACAACAATACTAACAGCAATACCGTACATGTTGTGTATTTACAGAAAATCAAGCTACAAGTGGTATAATGATCCCGTGTAAACACTGTTTTCTACATACAACATACATGAAAGCTGTCAAATTCATCATTGGTCCACAGTGCGCCATGCGCACAACGCCCACGCCTTTTAACCTTTATAGATAACTCGTACACTTGTAGTCACAAAGGTACAACTAGTATTCCACCAGCAACGTTACACTCAATAAAAAATCTGTTGATTATCAAGCCGTGAACGATGAAGTTGTTTCTATGTTTGAACACTGGTCATTCTCTCGTCCACAAAGGAAAGATACCATAGAGATCTATGTTTGGACCCTGGTCATTCCCTCACCCACTCATGACAGCTACCATAGAGATCTGTTTGGACCCTGGTCATTCCCTCATCCACTCATGACAGCTACCATAGAGATCTATGTTTGGACACTAGTCGTTCCCTCATCCACTCATGACAGCTACCATAGAGATCTATGTTTGGACCCTGGTCATTCCCTCATCCACTCATGACAGCTACCATAGAGATCTATGTTTGGACACTAGTCGTTCTCTCGTCCACTGCATGATAGCTGCCTGACAGTCGGAGACGCAGGGCAGTTCCCTCCCGAACGCACCTCAGACATGGACAGCTCTCCATTATACGCTGGGTTGGCGAACTATAAGAAAAAATATCCGCCCCTGAACGGATTTCTGATAAACGTGGTTGTTTACATTGCGTTTCACAATCCAAATGCAGTTTATACCTCAACGTGGAAGAAAATTAAGCAGTACTGCATCCACAGTGAGAAAATCTTCAAGCAGTATGACGTTTAGGGCATAAAAATCCATTTGCATATCATTATAACAGCTTCAATTTGTAGTAGTTGTAAAAACACAAATAACTGTAATAAATTTTTTTTTAATAATAACCTGTTATTTAGCTCCTTGGAGATTTTCTCCAATGATTTGTTCTTTGTCTCTGGCACAAACACGTAGATGAAGAGGATGGATGCAAAGCAGATGAAGCCATATGAAATGAATGTCCACGATGTACCAATGGCACCTAGCACATTACGAGACTCAATGAAGTGCCTTAAAATAAGCTCTGAACCAACAGCAGATAAAATCAATCTACACGAACTACTATCAATACACATAAATTTAATATGCAAAATATATGCATGATATCTATATTCAATGACTATAATACATAGGGCCTACAATTAGCTATCGTTTATAATGACGACGGTGATTTTTTTCATTGATGCCATTGCCTAGGGCGCTGTTCTAGCATCCAATGCATAAATGTACCTGTATTAATGATCATGGTACATGTTATGCAAATAAAAAGTCCTGTCAAACATATAATACTATACATATACAATATACTATCAATTGCAGCATATAGCAATAGCAATAATAATAATATCAAATGCAGACATCTTTCTGGCTGATCAGAGCAGAATTATACTGGAGTGAAAACTGCAGTGTACAGCTAGTGCAGAAGAATGAAGATTGATCACGACAGACTGAGATCCTATGCAAACCGATAACGTAAAGCAAAACACACCTAGTACATCAAGGAATGTTAAAGATACGAGAAGGTTGGTCCCCCAGTTGAGTATGGTTGCTGTAGCAATGGCACGACCTTTGATCCCCGCAGGAAAGATTTCACTCAGGATCAACCAAGTAACTGCAAATATTCAAGGTTCATGATCAATGTTGTCAAATATCTATAACAATCAAAATAAAATAATTATATATATATATATGTATATATATATGTGTATATATATATACATATTAAAAAATAAGATATAGACATATCATATCAGATTAGGAGTTACCTAGCCTAACACCACAATTGCACCACAAAAAACATTCCCGCCACAATTAGCATGGCTCTTCTTACACCTACGTATGTTAAAGCACTGAATACCTGGCCCAAATCCAAATGCATAAGCACAAACATAGGTCATCAGCGAAATCAGGCAGACGTATTTAGCTATCCCCGATCCTGACGACACGGGCGCACTGTCTGTCGTCACCACGGCAAAGGATGCCATCGCATCCGCACCCACCAACCCGCCGGATAAGTTGGACTGCACGTTGCCGGCCGCACTCCAGCCGTCCATCAACCGCGTCTCGTTGGGAGGGGAGAGGTTCTGCGACGTGCGGCAGGTGTCTGGCGCGGCGAGGTGGACTCCGACGTGGGTGACAATGCCGAGACACGCGATGCTGAGCATCATCAAGGTGGCGCCGGCGAGCAGGAAGCGGCGGCGACCGGCGCGGTCGACGCACACTAGCGCCACCACGGTTGACACAACCTACAGCAGGAAACGGGTTCGTAGATATTTTATTTATTCATTATTTTATACTTCTTTACTTCAGCAGTTTGGCATAATTATGACATTTAACTCAAGGAATTGTTTACCATATGTTGATGACCCATGTTAGGTTATATTAGATTATATTTATATGTACGGTCATCTTTATTTTTGACCTAATACAATCTGCTATTTACTATTAGGTACGCTGATCTACCTGTACATTTCTGTCATACACTATGAATCGGAAAGGGCCACTCCTGTAATGTATTTTTTGTATGTCAACTAATCTGTGAAATGGGAGCACTAGTGTAATAGCTAGATAACAGGGTTGCACTAACTGTGATAAACACCTAATGCCCTTTGCACTGCTACATGTTTGAGTACGCATTTATCAGGTGTATTTTACCACACTTTGAAATCTACAAACATCTGGATCAACGTGGCTGCTCAGTAAGCTGTAACATACACTTGGGGAGTATCTTCCAGATTTGTGCATTTTTCGTCAAAACGGTAAATTGTGTAAAGTGCGTGCATTCAGATACAGGGAAAGGACAGTACGTTTCTTTCAGTCTCCATGTTTTTTTGCACCTACTCTTTTAATTACTCTTTCCCCCGATTACATCTTTAACATCGGTCCTGTTTTGACAGCACTGCTGCCAACACGTCGCCGGCTCTCTCAGAGACATCTCCGCTCGACCATGCAGGAGACAAAGAAATGGAGCCTCGAGTTACAGACGTCGCAGGGCATGAAGAAAATCCGCATCAGTAGCGTGCTGTGCATCGTCGGCGGCGCCGGCATCGTCTGCGCCGAGTCGTACGTCCTGTTGGCGTGCAACCGCAACACGGGGATGAACTACGACGTGATCACGCTCATCGCCGGCGCGACGTGCCTCGTCGTCGGCCTCCTGTTCGGCGCGGCGTCGTGCACGCCCCCGACGGCGGCCATAATGCGCGCGACGCTCGCGTGCGCCGCCGTCGGCGTCATGCTCGCCCTCTACACGGCGGGCCTCGCCATCGTCACGCTCTTCACCGTCTACATGGGCTCACTGCACAACATCGGCATTGTTGTCGCGTCGCTGTTCGTCGAGTTTGCGTCCGCGCTGCCCTGCATCGTCGGCATGCTGCTCGTCTACCGGCACGCGCAGTGGATCATCGCGGTGACGAGCGTGCGCGAAGCTCGCGCGGACGCCTCCTGGCCGACCCGCGTCGGCGGCGGCGACGAACGCGATGCGGACTCGCAGGGCGCCGGCTCGCAGCGCGTGGTGGGGAGTGTCAAGCTGGCTGACGACGGCGCGGATGCCTACTCGCAGTCGTGCACCGACGTGCAAGAGGGAATTGTCAACGACAGCTACTCCTTCTAGCGCGAGACGATGGTATGTCTGACCGGCAAACGTGGGTTTACTCTAGAGAAGTATATAGGCCTACTCGTTAAGCACAGACGTGTTTGTGGCATGACCCGGTACGAGACGACTTGGCAGTTGGTGACGATGATTTCGTGGGGGCAGTTATAGGTGGTGTGAGTTGTGAGACTATGTGTTTTTGCAGTTAGGGCAACACGATGAACATAACATGATATAGTGGTCGATTGTGACGATTTGTTGGGGGGGGGGAGTCAAGACTATTTTGCGCATTCTATACATGTTAATAATAATAATAAATTATTGAGAATGAGAGAATATGGTAAACACAATTTTCAAATACTCTGCTGGTGGTTTATTCACTTCAAACATTATTAATGCGTATGATTTAAAATCCTGCTTACCTTGTTTTATGTGACGTTGTTAACTAATAAATATCTTTATTATTAATTTAATACCATTTAATTTCTCCATTGCTACTATATACATAGATCGTGTGACTTAATATTACTATATCAGCACCATTTGTTGTTTGAATTTCAACCAATTTACTCATGTTTTCTTCTTTGACAGTACCTTACACACATAATGCTTACCTTAACTACACCTAGTCCTACTGTTGCCAATGTGGCTGCAGAGTTACTGTGAAAGCCAATTGACTGGAATATGATAGGAGCATAGTACAGTACGTTTGGTTGCCCTGTAAACTGAAAAAAAACACGTCAAAGTCATTGCAACAGTGAGACCAGAATTCGAGTATAGTGCAGTATATAGATAGTACAGTCAGGGACTAATCTAGCTGCTTAATATAGGCACCCATGGCAAGCGTAAAATAAAAAGGGACCGTTGGCAAACGCAGAAAGCCGAAAATATTTTTTTAGATATAGGGCCATGTAGATGTATAATAACATTAAAATTAATATCATCTTGATATATAACACAATTGTTTCAATATATCCATGGATACGTTTTCTTTTTACCTCAGATAAGTAACAGAATGAACCACTATGACGATAGAAACATGGAGATTTAATTTCCACAATTTTCAGAGCTCAGCTAATTTGGGCATTTTATGAATTTTGTAATTTGGGCGTTTTGCTAGGGGTCGTAATTTGGGCGCCTGTATTCGGTATGAAAAATGGCTTGGATTAGGCCCTGACAGTGTACACAAAGCAGCATATTACCTGTCACCAAATTATTTAAACACAATTTAAAAATTCATTCACATAACTAATTAACTGACAAAATTGAATACCTCATGGATAAGACACAAGTACGCCCAGGTGAGCGCAGCAGAAGTAAGTTAATCTAGTTCTATCAATGTTCGCTAGAGAAAATGGTAGTAGTCTTTCAGCTTTAGCTGACTGCTAAAGATCATACAAGCTCATCCTAATCACACCTCTTACCTGTTGAAAGAAGACCAGACCACCACCTATCAGCATTCGCCCACGCATGTTGTCAAGTGGTCGAAATAGGTCAAACAATGTGTGATCCTGATAGGCAACGAAAACACAATTTCACTTGCTACTAGACATGTGTACTACTTGTGACATGACTACAATGCAGTATATACTTGTGCTTACAATGGTATGTGTGCTTATTTCACTCAGCAAAATCGTACGCCGATGTACACGTACACTAGGTGCCATGTAATCGTATGTAGTTGTTAAAATATATCGCCACAACATTATGTATGTACTGCTTGCTACTATGTACACAGTACTACTCAAACTTCTATCTAGGCCCTAACGCATATCAGCCCAACATGGCTTCAAAGCTAGAGCTAATTCGCAACATCTCATAAATCATCCAACATGCTAAACATTGCCTAATCAACATGCTTTAAAATAATATAATATGTTTATGTTCCAGTTTCCTTTTAATCTTTTCTGTTTATCAAATTCCAGGGAAGAGCCATGTGACTAAAACACTACATGTATACGATCAAGAGAATATTCCATGCCAAACATTGGTGACCATTGGATATATCATCATTTAAAAAAATTTAAACCGAGCTTTAGGTTCAACTTTCATAGTACATTCTACGTGATATAGTTATCCATTAATATATTGCAAATTTTAATTTGCATGAATTACCTCCCTAAAAGAAATTAGCCCGTATTTCTGCAGGCCTCATCTGTTCATTAAGCCTAGGACACACTGTGCGATTTTCTACGCTGGCCGCTTGCGATCCGCCGATCGATAAATACGATGCCGGGTCGAAAAACCGGGCGGAAATATTCAACATGTTGAATACGAGCGATGCGCCGGGCGTATGGGTTCGCGAGCGAAATACGCTGCCGTGAGACCGGACACACCGCGCGGACCCGGCACCGTATTTATCGATCGCAAGCGGCCAGCGTAGAAAATCGCACAGTGTGTCCTAGGCTTTACTGCATACATACATGTTCTGTTGACACCGACAGTCTGATATTGGCAAGCTCCTGGTCCACCCTTTCTGTCGCCAGCAGCTTCTGGAGCACCTCCCTGGCGCTCTGCTCCTCCTTATGAAGCATGAGATAGCGAGGGCTGCGGGGAAGGCACAACATGCCGACTCCCTGACATATAGCAGGCAGGGCTGACAGCCCAAACATGTAACGCCTGCGGCGAAAAGCCAGAGCACTTGTAGGACTAGAAAAACCTCATGACTAACGGGATTCAACTGCTATCATACCTCGTTTAAGGAAGCCTCATTCAACGACCAAAGTGACCGAGTGAGGAGAGTAGTCAATCACGCGTCAGTATCTCACTTGCACTTACCAGCCATTATCTACTGACATGAACAGATAGTTGACAAGGTAGGCGACAAGAAGGCCTATGGTGATTCCGAGCTCGTTCAATGACACCAACAAGCCCCGACGTTGCTAAAGCAGATAAGGGGACGAGCCATATAATGAATGTACTAATGTACGAAACTGCGGAGAGCAAGGTGTCCAACGTGGTGGTTCTTTTTACAGTATGCATACGTGATTGCAATACTGGACTACTACACCATGTTAACAATTTAAGACTACATCGTGATGAATCTTTAGTTTACAGATTTGAAAACAAGATAAACATGTTCACTTATCATCTTCACATCAAACTATTTATATAAATCAAAATCTACATAAGTAGGTCCGTGTGATGGCCATAAAGACCCCTCACACTTCTTCAGAAAACCTCACCTTCACCCATACGATGAATTGCAAACCCATGCATGCAGACAGACTAGCTGTACTGAATGTTGGATTTTTCCCTACATACCCGCGCTCCAAATCCGACATTGATCACCTACCACAGGAGAAATCTCTGAGATGTAAATGCACTCGGCGATGGCTGATAACGAGACAGCAAATCCCACCAGAAGCCGTCCAAACAGCTGAAAGCAGCGTCTAGTTACGTGACAAATCCATAGACTCGGTTATCCCTACTGAATTCAATTATATTTGTTCTAATTTTTTAATATCACATCTGTGACTTCCTAAAACTATCTATCACTCATATAATAATAAGTATGGTAATGTTTTTTCATCTAATCAGTGACTCCATGACCTTACTCCAGATATCGTAAGTTAGCTGCATTGCTAAGATAGGTTTCTAACAACAGTATATTCTCATATCGTGAAGGTTTTATCATTGTCTGAATTTTTGCCCTAAGGCTACACAATAGATCATTCAGCCAACTCCTACTTGATTTAGTATCTGACCTGAGATTGCAAACCACTATTATATAGACGGGCATGCTTGATGCTGATGCAAACCAAATAAATGTGAATAACTTTGATAGGCAAATCCTTATACAGAAACGAAAGTAATGGAAGTATTTATTACATTAAATACTCCCCAATTTTTATATATTAACATATTATTAATATATATATATATGCTCACTATAAAAGGTAGCATTCCTAGAGAGCTTAGGATCTCTATAAAATGCAATTGAATATGCTTACCAGCAGAGCATACGAACGAGCCACTGCAAGAATTATTGCTCCGCCAAAAAAGATGACAGCATTGACGATGATAGCGAAGCGTCTTCCAAACTGGTCTACTATGAACCCTACACAGAACATTATCAGGTGCAGCATTTCAATTTAGTAAACAATTAATGGATACATGCACTTGGCCATGTAATTGTGAATTTACTGACTAAACTTCAATTATATTTAACATCAAATTAAAATTAGAGAAACTATTCAATTACAATTTGTGATTCAAGGTATAATGGTACATACCATCACACACTAGAGAAATCACAAATTTACAGTAACCAGATTGATGTTAATTGTAGTAATAAACAAGTGCCGCGGAGCGACAGCGCTCATCTAACGTCTACTGCGGTGACTCTGTGGTAGAGTGGTGGGATTCTATTAAACCCTGTTAGTCCCAAATGTGTTCACATACACGCCGAAACAGTGGAATGCACAGGGATGGTATAAGGAACCTTCTCAAAGGAATGTTCGTTGGGATCATTATGAAAGTTGCCACGAGATGGCGCGTACGTTTAAGTGTCTTCAGATTTAAGATGAAAGCTCCCATCGTACGTAGTAGCAACAACTATTTGCAAGACAGAATAGGAAAGCACTCATCCATTTACCTACGCAAGCCTACAGGCTGCAATAGAGAACTGCCACCTGTAACCAATTAACGCCGGCAAAAATACACAGTACCACCTACACATGCACTCGCGCAGTGGCAATTACGTTACTGTACATAATCGACGTACGAACTGCCTAGAATTATACGATTGTTAAGGAGCTTATACCTTCTTCAACCACACTTTAGCTTTAAATTCACGTGACATTGATAGCCTCCATAACATCCAGGCTGTATAGATTCTACTAGCGAACCCGCAGTTCAAATTCTTTCTACACGACCAGTAAACCAATCCATGTTTACCCTCATCTGCAGGTTCAAAGGTATCCGACACTTACTCTCGCATTCAAGCAGAAAGGTACATTTGCATGGTCCTTCAATATAAGCCCTAAAAATGCTAGGCTCACGCGCTGAAACACACAAGTTTGTTCAATCGCTCCGTCAGCCATCGTCCTCAGAAAATGTCTAAAATTGCCCTGTGCCCAATTGGCCTGCTTACCTGTGACCTCAAATTTCGGCACAGTGATGGCATTCCACTATGATGCTATACACCGACTATCACGAGCCTAGGTCGAGCCGTTTAGATTTGTGCCGCAATTCTCCATTTCCTCCCTATACCTTAAGTTAAGGAGGGAATGTTCCCCCTTATTTTACACCTCTTGACCTTTGACCTTTGACCCCCAGCTTCGACATCCCAACTCGTTTTGACAATCCCCCCCGACGTCCCGAATATCGTAACCGTACGTCAAGCGGTTAAGATTTGTGCCCAACTGTTGACGCATGGACAGCCGGACGCACGCATGGACGGATGGACGGACGGACGATCGTGCGATTCTACAAGCTGCATCTGACTTCGTCAGATGAGCTAAAAATAAACAGGTTTATTTCATCTTTCATCAGATGCTTAACCTGTTTATATCAGGCATGAGACAGACAAATGCTGAAAAGGGAGGAACATTCTCGTGCCACTGGCACGAAACTTCTAGGGGGATCTGGGGACATGCCCCCCCCCATAAAACTTTTGAAAATTATAAGCTCTGAGATGCAATCTAGAGCCATTTCAGGGTACTCCAATAGCTCACCACTAGCAACACTTTTTGGTGGAAAAGGAAGAAATTATGCATATAACATGGTCACTTACGCTGCCAGGGTCTATGTCTCCCTGGGTATACCGGAACGTACCCTGGTACTATCTAATATGCCGGACCGTACCTCGCCTACTCCACTAACGAGTCTAGGGAGTCGCCTACGCCTACTCCCTAACCCTAACCCTAACCATATCAGATAGTTACCAGGGTACACTCAGGTATACCGGACCGTACCCAGGGTACGTTCTGGCAGTACCCAGGGAGACATAGACCCTATCAGCATCACTTACTGCAAAATTTTGATGGGCACTGGGGAATTCCGTCTGTGTTGAGTGTGTACAAAGTAAATGTATTTTGTAGACATACAAGCAGCATTCAGAAATCTCACAGAAATTAATAACATTAAATGTAATACTGACTAAAATGATAGTCATTTACTTTAGTTTAACTAGAACTGTTCACGAAATCCCTGCAGGCGAAATTCCAGTTAGTTAGTAGCTGGAGGCAACATCGCTAATTTTATTTTATACTGAAAGCATTTGTTGCGGTGACGACTACATTGTATCCTGGTGTTTCACGTTAGCTACATTTATCTAAATTAAGTAAACATTTCATGCCACTCGTCTATAAATCGGACACAAGGTCGTAGCTAGTCTATCAATGTCAATGATGGAGTGAGTAGGCCCTAGTAGTCAGTACAGTTAATTTCTCCAAATTCAACGAAGACCAACATCATGCATCACTGAACTAACCTCAACTCAACAAAAACAAACTTATATTCAAAAATATCCTAAACACCTTTTGTTTTTTTAAAGAAATCTGGAATTCTCGGAGTTTGTTTCCGTTTCTTTCTGTCCATAGTCGCTCCCACCTCTCGGCTTAGGCCTCGCTGGGACTCGTGGAGCCGACGGCGGGGACCAGCCTAAGTACTTGCTTGCATGCGTTTAATGACAAGCGCTTATAGGATGAAAGAAATTGCGTGTTGGACCAATGAAATGGTCGGTTACATGCCATTGCTGCGCGTGTTCGCGATAGTGTATCCGCTCCAGACGGTCTAGTATTATAACGTGCCGTGGTCGAACTTTTTAGCAGGTAAATTTTTGTTTTAATCCTTAATAAAATATTATACTTGAGCCAATTGTAACCGGCCGAAACAGCAGAGTAGACGGTCAATCCGGCCGGTGGCCGGTTCCTAATGAGAACACTGCTAACCCCCCCCCCTCCCCTTCTTCGAATTTCTCCTCGAATTTACACTGATCTCAGAAATGGTATCTGGAGTTCTAAAATGGCCTGAAATCCGCCGAACGGCGGAAATGTCTCATGCCTGTTATATCTTATATTTGCATAGTAATCATTTGATAAATGATGGCCACTTAGTATGAGAGTAGTTTTGTATGCACCAGGCAAAAATGCCTAATTAATGCATAGAATTAAATTTGCAATTAAACTGCAAATGAGTCAGTTATGCACACAAAAATTGCAATAAGCAACAGAATAAATTATGTGCACTGCCTAGTGACTATGACTCTGATTTGCAATTAATGGTACTATCAGCATCACAAATCAATGGCTAATGTTTACTTATATTATACCCCGTATGCAAAAAATCATCTTCTAATCGTCACCCGAGACCAGAAAGGGAGCCATGATGGGTATACATACATAAAGCATATACTTACCACCACAAAGTGATCCTACAAGAGCACCAATTAGCATTGAGCTAACGATTATCTCTTTTTGTAAGCAACTGAGATTAAAGGTAATCTGCAACTGAAGCAGGGCTCCAGCCACAATTCCTGCAACAGAGAAACACATGTGTCCATTTTTCTATAGAAATAACTACTGTAATTATCGTAACATAGATACTGATCAATACAAATTTGCTGTGTATAGAAATATGCATACGTACCAATATCATAGCCAAATAGAACACCTCCTAGTGCTGCCATGACAGAAGCTAAAACAACTATGCCTGTTGTTTTGCTTGATTCCTGCCCTCCTGTCTGTTGCATACCAGTTCCCATTGGGACCTGCATCTCCATAGCAACTGGGCCATCACCTTCACCCACTCCATGAAGCTCCCTCTCAGATGACAACAGTATTTCTGAAAGATGCACATGCTATCAAACCAGATACCCTATTTTCAATTGGCAGGTATACTGGGTTAACAACCATATCACAATAACTCTAGCTAACACTGCCATCTGCACTATGTATGTTTATAGGTCTTATAACCACCTTAAAAACAGTAGCAAGATGATCCCAACCTGCACAAGATACAGTCAACACCCGAAATTCCGCACACTCTTAAAACCGAATCTCACGTTAAACTGGATTATTTTCAAAGTCCCTACACCATTTGAGACATGTAAAATATGCCAGGAATAAGCCCCTGTAAACCGAACTACGCAGCAAAAGCTAACTAAATAGATGGTCCTGAGGGTAGTTGGTAATGGGAGAGTTGACTGCACCTACTACAAAGTTTTTAAACAAAGTTGTACAGTAGTGGTATTAGTAACCCGTGTAATGATAATAATCTATCACTCTCTAATCAATTACTCAATAAATTACTGTGTTCACATTAAAACAGCTGTATAAAACAATAGTGGGATATTCAGTCAATTGTGTTTGAAAGCTCGTAAGCAAATTATGTGCATGGTCCCTACACTCCTCACATATAAGCTGAACAGATGCAGTATGCCACAGCTTGATCTCTATGGAAGAGTGCGGTGGTGCAGTGCTTATGGTGTTGACTTTTCACATATGGCAAAGAGGTCTACCTCAGGCAGGGCAATGATTGTAACCAAGGTAGAAAAACCTGCCTCCTTTTACTATTGGTTAGTGTGAATCTGTCATGGCTCAGATGCTTATGTAATATACTGATCCTGTCTTCAGTAATGGGGACGTAAATGAACCACTAACGCAATTTGTAATAATAACGAGGCCATCGGAACATAGTGATAGTGGCAATAGAATCAGACGTTACACATGGAAATACTTGCCAATTTTGTTTAATATACATACCTACATCCTCGTTATCAGACATATCTGTTGAATATTTACTATTTTCCAAATCAGAAATTACTCCTCAAGTGATGTCTTGGTTCATATCTAGGTCCTAGGAGCAACAGCGGGTGTTGTTAGAATGAGAATTTCTCTCTGAAACGGAATAGAAATTATCACAAAACAAAACTAAACTATGAAACTACTCAGATGTATATAATAATAACATTATATAGATGATATATAACATATAATAACTAGAGCACTCGGAGAGCACAGACCTTCACCAAGGCAGCTGAATTCTCTCAATGTGAAATTTTTTATTAATTAATTAATTAAGTAGAAAAATTAATTAATTGGATCCGGATTAGTGCGAGCGTGAAGGTGGGGGAGGACTGTGGTTGCCCTTTAGCCTGGGTTTGCGTGTTTGTAAGTCTACAACCAGCGCACCTAGCGGAAATGAACTGAAACGTGCATGTTCACAAACACACAAACCAACACTCAAACATTCGCCGGTAAAAGCATAACCTCCGCCACGCCCCTGGCAGAGGTAATTAATATTTATAATATACTAGCCATACCTGTCCATCCCCGTTAGGTGGTCAAAACTAAAAATAAATAAATAAATAAAAATAAATAAAAATGTTAACACATATAAGATCCGATAGGTGGCGTCGTGTTTTCGTGTTGTTGTGAGGGTGCCATGCAAAAATTTCCCACTATTTTAATGTTTTTGAACGTGTAATGTGAAAAAGATGTAACTGAAAAAAAAAAATAGCCCATGCAACGTGTCATGATCTGTAGAATGTTCGTACCAAGTTTGGAGAGGATCCGTTGAGCGGTGAGGAAACGTATAGCCGGACACACACACACACACACACAGAAAATCCCCAATTTATAGTAAGAAGATATAATAAAAAGACCAGTTTCTGGTGCGGTCGAGAGTGGACGTGTTTTGAGAGAGCTCCCGCCAACTAAAAGCTCCCGCCAATTTTCAGCCATTGTTTCACCTACTTTTGGTTGATTACTCATCGTGCGTGTTAACAGTATAACAACATAACGTTAAGGGCTTTATCTAAAACTGCCTCGGTGCTTTCGCTAAACAATGTCCCCACTGCGATACGACGTACACGTTGATTTCACAACGTCGAATTTTTACACAGTTGAGGACAACAAAGTATCTGACCTACGAACAACTATAACTAACACGACTATCACTTCAGAAATCTCCGAATCAAAACTCACAGGAGTTTTGGAAAACCAGGACCGGAACTTACCTTTACGCGGTGAATGATTGCAGTGTCTACAGCCTACGATAAACACCGACACGAACACTGGCCATCAGTGCTACTACGTGTAGTCGTTTACACAAATCCAAGCTGCTTTTTAGTACTGTATGTGTGTATGTGTGTGTGTTTTTACTGTACAGTGTACACGTATGTACGTTTATGTTATTTTAGTTTTTCTTTCCTGCCTCATATGCCACAAGGCAGTCAGATCCAACCAAAATGTGATCTGTTGCAACACCTGCGACATATCGCATCACATAAAATTGCTACCGGACTGCATATCGATATCGGCTGAAGAGTTCACGTACCTATCGACAATTCAGGCCAATTGGGTATTGTTTTAAATGCCAACTGCCACAACTAAGTGATTCTTTCTTTTCTGATTCTATCTCAGATGCAAACAACCCAAGACTACAAGGTCACCTGGATCATAATGCTAAACCCTTTGTAATGCTCCCTGAGCTACAGAAGCTATGCAAATCAAACCCTAACAACCTGATCATCTCACACCTGAATATGAATTCAATCTACCACAAGTTCGGGATCATGTCGGACATTTTCACTGAAAATCTCTCTGATATTGTTGTCTTTCCTGAAACAAAGCTGGCTGTAGCTATACCCAGTGCTCCTTTCTGCATTGAAGGCTATGCAGAACCACTCCGGAGAAACCGTACCTCGCATGGTGGTGGCCTCATGACAATAATCCTATCAGGTATTCCCCATCGCAGAGTTGATAGACTTGAATCACGAAACCTGGACACAATCTGCATTGAACTCCATCATGCAGGGCTGAAATGGCTTCTAATTTCAATCTACAAACCACCAAGTGTCAGGGATCAGGACTTCAAATCAACATTCACTGATTTCCTAGACCCTTGCCATACACACTACAACAATGTAATACTATGAGGTGACTTAAATTTTGAGATGCTTCTACCTAAAACAAAAGGAAAGACACTATTTGACCTATGCGAGATTTTTTATCTCACAAATTTGGTGAAGATGCCTACCTGCTTTAAAAACCCTGGCAATTGATCCCTGTTAGACTTGTTTCTAACAAATGATTGAATAATTTCATCGGATCTCTATCATTTTATTATTTTCTATTATTTTTATTGTTTCTAAAAAATTGTCCTACACAATTCCACATAACCACGGCCGTTGACACTGGCCTCAGAGACTTCATTGGTTTATTTGCACAATGATGAAAGGGAACCTAAAGAAACCCACACCAAAATGGTATCATCGACACAACTTCAGAAGGCTTAACCCGAGAGCCTTCCAGCAAGACATGGAAAAAGCCCCTTTCCACATAGCTAAAATTTTCCAAGTCCCAGACGAACAACATTGGGTCTTTCCATCCCTCTTCAATTATGTCCTAAGGCCAAAAAATATGTTTGTTTCCACTAATCTGACCGAGTCCATTTTAAACTGCCGTGTAAAAACTTTTTATTGTGATCGGCAAAAAAAAATTCCCCCAACGAGATATCGATCGATGAATTAAATGATTTGACTTTGAAGTCATTATATGGGCTGTTATAAGTATAAAACAAGTAATGTTAGAATACAAAAAATAAATAAAAAATATTTGATAAAAAAAGTTTTGCCTGCCTACCATGTCCAATTTTTTTTCAGCTCGTTAGCGGAAACAAACGTCTTTTTTGGCCTAAAAGATCATGCACCTTTTACAAAACGTGCGTGCGTGCGTGCGTGCGTGTGCGTGTGCGTGTGCGTGTGCGTGTGCGTGTAACAGTGTGTGTGTGTGTGACAGTGTGGGTGTGTGCGTGCGTGCGTGCGTGTGTATATGCAGGGATGAGATTGGAGAATTTAATTTTCAGCTGAAATTGGAATTAGCAAACAGAGGAGTGAGCAATGCAAGGACCGTAGGTCATCATAAATTTTTTTTAAAGAATGGTGCAATTTGGTGCATTCTAAGCTATTCTGAACACATTATAGGAGACTCTTGAATCACTTTTTCAAGTTGTCAAAAGGAACAAACGAACTATGAATAGGAAATCAGGGGGCTAAAGATAGGGCAAGTTTTTTTATTAAATGTCTAGACATAATGATATTTTTCTGATTCCACCCGTCGCTTGCATTGTTTTACTCAGACATTAAGCTGCCTTGCTGCGACGAGATTTGAATAAAAAAAACACAACGCGAATGGGACAATCAGTGCATAGTCATGCACACAACATGCACACAGCAACATGTAAACCCGGCCCCCAGGCCAGGCATG